TTTTTTATAGATTTTTGAAGAAAATCTTATAAGCATAAAAAACATTAATTAATCAAATAAGTTATAATGGAACCATTCTTTTTATTTACCGGCGAAAGTTGAAAATATTAATTTAGAACATATCTTAATAGTGTTACATTTTTCTTAGTTATTTGAAAATAATCGTGCTTCAGCAACTTTTTTTTTTTTTTAATTTTAAGTTGACTAACAAAAAATTTATTTATTTGAAAACTTTACTTTTAATTTCGGTTTGATAACTTCATAAATGATTTTTTATAAAGAGAAATAGTAATAAATCCCACAAAATATGTATATAATAATGAGTCCTAGTTATGATTATGTAATTAAAATTAATATTTGACTTTGATTGAATTGCAAATTACTAACAAATTGTTATCCATATGGAGGCTTAATTAATCAATACAAGAATAATTACTTTCGTAACTTCTTTTTAATAATGGTAAATGTTCCGAACACTTATAGACACAAAAAATTGCTCAAAAAATAATTTGTTACTTTTTAATTTGAAAAAAGTAAGCAAGTTTTAGCATGAATTAATGACTTATTCCATTACTCAATTAAGCTACTTGTTTTGAGAGTATGATAAAAATTACTTTTGAAACAATTGTTCAAAAATGTTCGAAAATAAAAGTATACATTTTTTTTTTTTTACTTCTTTTTTCTAAAAACTTAGCCGAAAACGTTTGCTCCGAACTTGTAGAAAAAATTTAGTTTTTTTCTTGTTTAATCATGTTGAGTCGAACATACCAATCATGACATGAGGAAAAGGAATCTTACATAAGTCAAAGAGTGCAAGGCAGTGTTTGTCGATGAATCTGCAACCAAGAGGTAAAATAGACCCATGACTCCAGTATGTCCGTGTGCGCTGCTATAGTTAGACACAAGAGTTAGTAACTCCCCATCAGATATTTTGACAGTGCCAGGTGAAGGGTAACATGTGGACATTCCCACAACATAACCAGCCTCATTTCCTGCTTCATTTCCTTCACCATAAACTGGGTTTGATGAGCATATCACTCTTCCATCCTAGTAAATTCACCAGGAATTATGAAATGATGTGTTAGTTTTATCGTGGTATAGATATATGAATTGTTTAGTAAATCAGTTATAAGTAAATCCAGAAATCCAGGTAAGCACGGGCAGCAACTCGACGGCTGCCAAATATAAGAAAAAAAATTTTTACCGGCAGAGTCAGCATGGGCTCGCCGGGACTCGTAATCCTAAAAACGATGGCTTTGCATGGTGTACTGCACTTTATTGTGTAGAACCAAAGCATCCAAAACTTTTTGTTGTTAGAAAAGGGTTGCATTACATTATTTAGATTTGGTTTAAATTTGTAGATTCACATGTAGGCTAGACACATGGACAGAATTCATAAATAGGTAGCAGCCATAATTGAATCTAGATTTTTGGTGGTCTTGATATCACGTTGAATTACTCATCTAAAAGCATAAATTATTAGAGAAATGATACATTTATCTAGAATAATGTAAAAAAGATAAGATGGGTAGTTAGTCACGTCTAATAGGAATCATAAACAAATTGTAGGTAAAGTCGACAGTTTTTTGAGGACTCCTCATCTAAGGTTCCTATAAAAAGAATCAAGCTGGCCCTTGCCATCATTTTGGTGTACTATCTTCTTTGAGCAAAATGTGGCAGGAGAAAAAGAACAGAATGAATGGATCGACCCCATCATCTCAACTATGGAACATAAAACAGACAATATGTCAGAAAATAAGTACCTCCCCATAAAGAGTTGAACCAGTCCCTCCTGCATGCTGGTGTGCAACACCATAGATGACATTTCCACTGGTTGGCAAACTAACGCTCACTCTTTTAGTATGAATGCAATCATCATTAGCCACACCAATGTCACAAGACTCAACATCATACTCGACCTATAACCAAACCAATTCGACTGAGTCTAAGTTATGGGACCAATATATGAAGAAACCAAAGAAAGAAATCAAATATATTTATTAATTTGCCTTTGAATTATAAATTACTTGAATAACTCGAAGACAGTGAAAGGATCTGGTTTGCTTTGAATCTTTTAGTAGATATAGCAATGAACTGAATCGAATAGCAAAAACCAATTCATATAGTACGTCCAATTTTATTGGGATTAAGGCTTGGTTTCTTGTTGTTGTACTGGCAATACTCATCATTATCATATATCATCTAATAAACAGAAAGGAAAAACTTAATCCCCTGTTTCTTAAACATGCTCATGAGACATATGTTCGATTTACCCGGCAATAATGTCGAGATCTGACTCCTCTGGATTCATCCGGCCTTGTCCAAACATCAGTAACATCAAGAACATAGATTTTAACAGGCACAATGGAGGCATCCCAATCAATGTACTTCACTGTATACCTCACGTATAGGCTTCTCTTCACACCATGGAATCCTTCTTTCACCATACATTTTGTCTCGTCATAACAACATCTTAAGCCACCGTAATAATCCGATGGCAAAACATGACCATGCTCGTCAACTGTAACATTATACAAATCGCACCTGCACTCGGTGCACCCCAACCTATCTAGAACACCCCTGGTATCAATTGCATGCACATTGAGCATCCATTTCTCTTCGTATCCATCTGGGATCTCGGCATGATTTCCAATCTCAATTCCATAAGGGTCGGGCACGTGTGTGGCCATTTTTCGTGTCTCAGATCCTATTCCGAAGTAGTACGATAGACCATGATCACACACACCACTATTCCTTACAAAAAAGTAATCTGATTTGTCAAACACCCTATTTCCATGGTGCTTTGGAATATCGACTCCTTTTCGTTGATGGTACCTTAGAACAACCCAGTGGTGGAGATAAGTTTCATGAAGGGGGACCGGATTCCCTGTCTCATCGATTACTTCTCCATTGAAACTCTTGATTGCTATATGGCCTCGAGGGAAATCAATATTGTAGTAATCTTTGTTGGAAACAGATCCGGGTTCTAGCACAAATTTAGGGGATAGAAAAACTGCAGTTTTCTCCCAATTTTCATTGCTTAATTGAGGTTGTTCTGAACTTTTAACTTTAGTAATTAGCAGTAGAATTGCGAGGCAAGACAGCCACCAGTATGGAGTACGAACCATTTTTTCCATATAGTAAATCTGAGGAAAATATAGATAGGAAGCACAATATCAATCTTATGTGTCTACATCGTGAAGATGGCAAAATCATTTACAATTTACATGTCTACTGCAATTATGCAAAAATAATATTCCAGAAATAGCAGTACTATCCAAACAGCAAAATAATTTGGACCGAGCTGTCTGCACAGCATGGCACACAGCTCAGTTCACAGCCCCCTCACATCGGGGGCTGCCGATTAAAAAAATGGGCGTAGGCCGCCTCTACAGTGAGGGGGCTGTAAGTATACAGCACCAAAATGTGCTGTACAAGTAGGTTAACCCAAATAATTTTTTGTTTTCATCTTTTTTGACTGGTAAGAAGAAATTCGCACAAATGCAGCATGATTCTTGAAAACTCGAGAATCAGATAGCAATGCCAACTAAACCTTAATTATAAAAAACTAAGGTGAGGTACATGGACAAATTTATTTTAAATTTTGGATTATTTTTATTTTTATTTTTATTATTTTTTTTATACCCATCAAATGATCAAAGCTTGCAAATTTTAAAAATAGGTAACAAAGAAACCTGAACGTTGTTATCGTTCTAGTTGAAAACTCTACCGAAATCATACTTTTGCAACCACAATGACCGTTAATTTTTGTCCACTCCTTCCTCTTATAACATGTTCTACTCAATCTAGTCGAGCCCATGTTTGGTTCAGCAAGAAAAATGAATTAAAGTCAAGAATTAATTTTAATGACGCATTTGATTCGATGGATCAACAACTTTTTAACTATATATTCCATTATCAAAATATACGAAAAAAATAATTTTTATCTAAACCAAACAGTAGCTAAATCTAGGCTAAACATCTAAAACACCTTTTGCAAACAAGACAAGCCAATTCGGGAGGCAATTAAAGAAGAAAACCCAGGTTTCAACCACAATGACAATGTTAATTTGTGTCTACTTCTTCGTCTTGTAACACTTTCTACGTACCCAACATATCACTTGAATGCAAGAGAGTTTAGTTTACATCTAATACACCACTCCTATGCAAAAAAGACGAGCCACCTCGGAAATCAATTGAAGAAGAAAAACCAGTCAGTGAGAATGGACAGAGATTTATATATAGAGACTATTCAGCGGTATAGAAAAAGTAACAAAAGAAAACAAAGAAACAAACAATTTCACAAGCATATATACCTCTTACATAAATATGCAGCCCAGAGATAAACAATGAAAATCTTACCCGATAAAGGTGTGCGGTTCAAACAATCTCAGCAAAGCATGCGACAGCAGAAGCTTAGTGTGAAAGTGAATATTCAGGGTGCTCAAGAATATTATTAATACACTACAGGAGGGGACTGCGAGACAAAATCAAAGAGGTTAGATATTGCTGAGATCAGTGCTTACGCATGGAAAAATTATATTTTTATTGAGGAGACGTTTGACACCATTTTTTTACATGAAAAATGGAAAAGGAATTTCATCATCCACTTTTTGCTTGTTTGATAGTAAAAATATTCTCGGCAATTGGAATTCTTGCTTTGCCCCCTAACTGTTACCATTTCTTGGTTTTCCTTGAATTGGTTTTACTACCACTTTGGTGGTTTTTTGTTTTCCACCTTTTTTCTTTTGTTTTTTTTTTATCTTTTTTTTTGTTTTTGTTTTTTTTGGGTTTGGTAATGGAATCAAATTTTTAGGAACAATTGTAAAAGATGATATCCCTTAAATTAACAATTTTTATGTAAAATAAAGCCAAACAAACATAAAAGACATTTTTATTTCAATATTTTTTAGATGAAAAATTATATCAATCAAATACTATTTATTGACAATTTCCATTAAAATAAATTCTAGACAATTTAATTTCCTGCGATTTGTTTTTTTCATCCAAATTTCATTTTGACAATCAAACGAACTTTAATATTTGCATATTCCGATATGATCCTATTTTTCTTCGAGAGAAAGATAAAAGAATGCTAATGTAGTACAAGAAATGCTGGAATCTGAAACCATAATATCTGCCTAGTCAAAAACTTTAATTTTTATTAATAGCAGTAGTTTTCTAGGAAATTTTAGTTAGTGACATTTCAAGAATTGAAATCTTATCAAGAAAGTAGGAAAGTGACGGCAATTTTAAAAAACCATTTATCTCGGTTTTGGTCCCAATTTTTCAAAATTTATTTTTAACCATATATTTTATGGTATACAAACTTTTTATCAATTTTTTAACTATGTATTTTATTATTTTTTATTAAAATTTACTAAAAATATAATTTTTAGCCAAATCGAACGAGGGTTAGCTTGAACGACTAAAACAAGGAATTTATCCTCTTGAGTTTGAGGAAATGGAAACCTCCTTTCAATTGAGTACTAATCTTCTTTGAGCTTTGCTACAAATACAGGGTTTGGGATAGATTTATAAATTAGGGAGACACATGTCATTCAAGGATTGAACAGTTTAAAAAAAATCCAAACAGGTTCTACATAGCAGCACATAATATTTTTTTATCCCTGGAAGCTATCTATCTCAAGATGGCTTTTCCCATCTTCTTTTTGTATAATTTGATTTTTGTGTTATTATTATTATTATTATTTATTTCCTTTCTCCTATTGGTGAATTACTATCACTACTTCATTTAAAAGAGGCAATCCTAACTTACTATTCATTTGTGATTTCCCTCTTACAATTCACTATTTCACATGTGGACAAAATTGACTGTTCATTAACTAATTTCCAAAATCACTACTAGCTTAACTAGTTTGGATTTGATTTGTCTCCATGTTTGAAGTCATGCCATCAAACGTGCACTGTAGCTCTTTATACGTATGTGAGAAGAAAAGGAAGATGTCGGAGATTTTTTTAAACTTTGTCCAATTGTGGCCCGCATTCATTAATGGTGATTGAGAGTGGGTAAAATTACTTGTCTGAAAATTTGACTTATCATGTATTGTTTGTGGTGAAAGAAAAGCAGAAATAGAAGACAAAATATGTGTGTGTATGTGTGTGTGCAAGAGAAAGAGAGAAGGGGAATCGGAGATCACTCTAGGTACTTTTCAGTTGAGCCATATCAACATAACTATTTTCCACATGACTACTTCATTTAAAATAGGCAATCCTAACTTACTATTTATTTGTGATTTCTCTCTTACAATTCACTATTTCGCATGTAGACAAAATCGATTGTTCATTAACTAATTTCCAAAATCACTACTAGCTTAACTAGTTTGAATTTGATTTTTCTCCATGTTTGAAGTCATGCCATCAAACGTGCACCGTAGCTCTTTATATGTATATGAGAAGAAAAGGAAGATGTCAGAGATTTTTTTAAACTTTGTCCAATTGTGGCCCGCGTTCATTGATGGTGATTGAGAGTGGGTAAAATTATTTATCTGAAAATTTGACTTATCATGTGTTGTTTGTGGTGAAAGAAAAGCAGAAATAGAAGACAAAATATGGGTGTGCGAGAGAGAGAAAGAGAGAGGGGGAATTGGAGATCACTCCAGGTACTTTTCAGTTGAGCCATATCAACATAACTATTTTCCATATGATTCACCACAATAGTTTTTCATTAATTAAAAGACAAATATATCCTTAAGTAAGTTACACAATTACAAAAATATGGTGCTATTTAAAAGACAATAATATCCTTTAAGATACAAGTAATACAAAGTAGAAATCAAATACTCCCTATTTAAAATTTTAAAACGAAGCCACTTGTTTTATCTATTTACTCCAACACAAATAAAAATTGTTTCATTTTTCATCTGCTTCAATCACGAAATGTTATAAATTTATCAAACACTTAGCAGAAAAATATTATTTCTAGCCATTACTTCGAATCGATAAGTATATTTATGTATTCTTAATTTCGTTTTCGTTGAATTAGTAAATTTTTTTAATCGTTAAATCTTATTTTTACATAGGCAGGTAAATTTTTATAATCTTAAACAGATTAATAATTTTTTTAAGCAAAAATGGGAAAAAAATTCATGTGCATAGATAAACAATCAGATAGGAACAACCGGCCCGTCACCTGGGCCAGCTGAAACAAATGACCTAGATGATCGACTGTTTTTAGCTAGCCTGGATTGCTTTTCTTTCCCCCTTTTATCTTCTAATTATTATTTTTTAACAAATTATGTTTTCCAATGTAGATATGAATCAGCTGTAATCCTGGTTTAACTTTGGTGAATTTAAAATGAATGAAAATGATCAAAAGACATGAAAATGGACGAGTGAAAGACTTGATGCTATTGCAATTGTGATAAAATTGAGTACATTGTATGCATAAATGTACCTCGATTTACAGAACAAGCCCAACGTCAATCCCTCTCAATACGACATGAAATTAGGATTTCTATTCAGCGAGCATACATCGATTTCAATTTCACCTATAATGGTTACTTCTGTAGCCAAGATGAAAGTGTTAATTGAATTGAACCAAAATCGTACGATTTCTATTTGCTTAACTTTAGTTAAAAAGAATGTCACCAAGAGTGAACATGAAGATTTCGATGGAGGGAATTGTAATATGAATGATTTTTGGGACACGGTGGATATAGTCCGTGAGGATGATGTGACTATTCTCGAGACAGTTGTTTCTCAGCATAATCTCACTATTATGTACAAAATTTTCTCGATAGTTCAAGACAATAAGAATGAAAACAAATTTACAAATGACGATTTGATTGCGTTATCCTGTTAGAGACATGAATATGGTGGGAGCTTACAGGCTGGAACGAGTGCACGGTCTTTTAATTGTTCGCATGTAGTTCTCGATAATAAAGATTTGTATGTCGAGCAATTGTTTGAAACAAAGAAAGATTTGTAGGAAGTTGTACACCAGATTGCTTTTGAAACAAAACTTTGAGTTTAAAGTGAAGAGATCAAACAAGTTGACATATACAATTATCTGCGTTGACGACAGTTGCAGTTAGCGTTTGCGAGTGACGAAGATGGACACGAATGAGTTCTTTGTAGTTCGTAAGTATGCACGGGAACGTACTTACGAAATTGGTATTCGTCGAAATAATCATAGGTAGGCCAAAACATGGTTCATTGGTCGACAAATAATACACAAATTTTAGTACCCACAAACGATCTATAGACCTCCGAACATCATTAACGACGTTTGTCGAGAGTATGAGGTGGTCATGAGTTATCAGAAGGTTTGGAAAGCCAAAAGATGTATATTGAAGGACTTAATGGGTTCGGTCGAGGACAGTTATGCTAAATTGGTTAGGTATTGCTATAACATGGTTCCTGGATTGGTACTTTTTTTGAGACAATGCATTCGAGGATTTCGAAACGCGATGCGACCCCTAATTCTAGTTGACAGTACAATCCTTAAGACTAGATATGAAAGCAAGTTGATTATTGCAATGTGTCAAGATTTCAACATCTAAAATTATCCTATTGTATTTGACTTGGTTGACGAAAATAATGATTTAAAGATGAGTTGGTTCTTCACGAAGTTGAAAGAAGTAATTGGGGACATCAAGAACCTTGCATTCGTAGCTAATCGGAGGCAATCAATAATAAATGGTATCGCAGAAGTCTTTCTCGAGACACATCATGATTATTATATATACCAAATACAGGGCAATCTGAAGATTAAGTATCGAGGTAGTGACATCATTGCATTGTTTGGAAGGGCTGTAGAGGTTTATAGTTTTGAAGAGTTTGATAAATTTATGATCAAAATAGAAAGTAAATCACATGCTGCATGGGAGTATCTAATAGAGATGGGGATCGAATATTGGGTACGATATCATTTTTCAAGAAGTTGATATAACATGATGACGTTGAACAATACGAAGTTGCTCAATACATTATTCAAGAAAGATAAAGAGTTACTAATTCTTACAATGATTGAGCACATTCGTAACAAACCAAAGCAGTGACTTCGTGATCGACGTGAGAAATCACAAAGTAGCATAAGTGTGCTAATTTCGACTCAGGAAGATAAACTCTTTAGGACTCTGGAGGAGGCAAGAAAGGTATGTGTGAAACCACTGGACTAGTTTGCTTCTCCGTGAGATATGGACGTAATATCAAGTATATCGTGGACTTGAATGATAACACTGCACGTGTAGAAAGTTTTAGTTGGAGAGTTTTCCATATAAACATGTAGGGGGAGTGACTATGCATAGAGGATTTTCAGCACATATCTTATGCAGTTATTATTACATGGTTGATTATTGGAGAGCATCGTATGTCAAAACAATATTTTTCTGTACCAAATGAAACCGAATGGAAAGTTCCTGATCACATTCTCCCACTTAATAATGTACTGCCGTCCGAAGTTGGACCACGTACTCCTGAAGTAGACGTATGTCTAAAATACTATCTACTGGAAAATTTTTCCAACCTCATGAATGTAGCAGGCGCGACGCAATAGGGCATACTCGTCGATTTTTACAAGTCAGATTTCTCTCAATAACAATTCAATGGATGTGTAATATAAAACCCCAAATTTGTATTAACTATTTTCACAAGGGTCTAAATTTGACGTTGGTTATTTAGTGGAATAGTCCATTATTTAATAACTTTTTGTGTTCAAGCATTTGACGTCCCATGTTAAATTTAAATTGGTAGTTTGAAATCGTAGTATGTCAAGATTTTTATTTAGTCAATCTATTGTTATAAAAAAAAATAAGAAGAATAGTTTTTAACTATTTATTTACTTATACAGTCAAATATTTTAAAAATTACACATACAATTGTTGTATTACAACATGAATCAGAAAGAAGTAAGTAAACAATATTTATATTTTTTTAATACAATAATACACAATGTACTATGAATCACAATTGTATTCATACAAATCGCAGGCTAACTCAATTTCAATATATCTATATAAGATTGGTTTATTGTATCAACCTTGCGATCAATACTCAAAAATTCTATGCATTTTATTGTGAATATACAGAAATCGCACCTGCAAGTAAATAATAATATACTAGTTCGAAACATAATTTTAGCTTTTTGTTATTGTGTAGGAAGAACTCCAACCTAAACTATGCAGAGCAACTTATGGTGAGAACCTCTTTATGGACCGAGTAATGCTTTGCGTAATCTTAATGCGTCTTCTATATTGATTTTGACACCCTTTTTCTTAAGTCACGATTTCAATGAAGTTTTACCCAAAAATGCATCTAAGCCCTTGTGGAAACATCTTTTGTGGTGTGCCTCCAGGTGAGAAATTATTTTCTCTTTCATCTGTATGTAAAAGTTTGTCACGGTTTCTTAGTCTTTATTCAAAGTAGGAAAGAGATAGTTATAATACTTATTAAACACAAGAAAACTCTTTGGGTGACTAACAACATAAACAAACTTGTATTCAAAATTTTTGGATTTCTAATTGAGTATACAAACACTCACTATTCCTTTTAGCTCTATACTGTCAAGGATGTAATGTACAAATTGCTTACCACCATGCCAGCACATACCGTATTTCTGTCGTGTTATACCTATTCAGGTGGAATCTCAGGTTATATGTAAGCTAACTCATGCACTATCTTTAATCACAATCTGATAATTTAAGTAAAGTATTGTCTCCACTTTGCATTTTATTTATTACAACTTTTGCTCTTGGTTTTTTTTTTTTTTTTTTTTCTGATGAAAAGAGTAATGGTGCTGTCGAATCTGAGCAATTTATCCATGCACTCAATGTGTTCCATCCCCATACTCCTATTGAAGACAAAATAGAAAGCAAGTGACCAATAATAATTGGGTAGTTTTGTTATTTGAATTCTTATTGTGTAGTAGTTGTGACTAGGACAATGTCCTCCATAAGCATATCATGTAATTGTGTTATTTTTAAATTTTAGCTCACTTTATTATGCTTGAGTTCTTTTGCACCTATCTTGATTGTGGCTGTTGGTCGTGGTAAAGTTCTTGAAAGTTTATCTTTTTTTGTGGTGTAATGTGTCTAACCTTTTTCTTATATATATGTCATTACTCATTTATGTACTTAAGAAAACCCGTGTGGCTGCAACTATATTAACTTGTGTGCAGTTTACTTGTCATTTAACATAAGTAAATGCCAGAAATTGTAGCACTAAAGTCTGCGAACCTTGATATTTGCTCATCTGTAGGACTAGGTTGCCATTCTTGATGATGTTAAAGACCAGGATGAGGAATATGATGGATCACTAGGGGACTGAGACAAATTGGAGACGATACAATCTTCTCATTCTATATATTTTGACAATAAGTTAACTAGGTAACTGTCTTTGTCAATTTCTTTTGCTCAATGTATAGCATTAAACTAAAAAATAAAATGTGGATTATTTTTACTGTGGCTGCCAAACTAACTTTCGAGTATCTATGAACTAAACAAATACACCTATCACATATCTATATTGTGTATTATCATTGGTATCTCTTTCTACTTAGAATACTTCCATTTAATTTACCAATCTAATAACCTCTTCAATCCAGTAAATCTATTTGTTGCTCAGGTTGATCAGATTATCCTGTAGATTTTATGGAACAACCTTCTGTTGGTCTTGCTATACAAAGCCTTCTAAGACCTACATATATGGAAGAACACACTATCATCTAGAAGCATGTATTGGCATCCATCAAGCAATGCTGATGTAAATCACATTGTCGAAGAACAAAAGCCTGGAGGCATTTTTTACATCATAAGTTATAAACATGAAAAGGAACCAGCTCAAGATATCCCAACTCGGGCAGAGGAATTGGAGAAGGACGAAAGTCTCGAAAATGGAATTTCATTTTACAAGATAGAGATTATTCAAATTCAGTTATATTCAGCACACAGACATGAGGTAAAGTGTTCAATTTTTCTTTGGTGAATCTCAAAAGGTACGAAACTTTTCATTCTTTAGACCCAAGTTCCTTCCGGAGACAAAAAAAAAAACTGTGACATTTTATTAATGAACAATTTTTGTATTTAGAAATCACTCATCAAAGTTATTTAACGTGAAGATATTTTTAAGGTCCATCGAAGCGGACAAATTTGATTGGTTTCGGAGTTGTTACTCAATGCTTGACTCTCAGTAAAGTTAATCATCTGTCTCTGACTAATCTTCTGCTAACAATCAATGCATAGGTAAGGTGCTCAATGAAATTGTCATTTGTGCTAAATATCATAAGATTTTGCCTTGATAATTTCCAAATTGTGTACTTATATCTTCTGCCCCTTGCATTCTTCTGTTTTCCCAGCTAGGTGGCTTAAGTTCTCTCTTAACCTTTAAACAAACTTCGTCTATCCGAATGGTATACAAGGTTCCTAGTTGATCTCGAGGTTGTTCTCAATGATTGTTTTTTTTTTTCCTCTTTCTAATTATGAAAACCTGCATCTATGTTTTTTATTTCAACTCCATGGAGTTTTGCTTCATTTCTATGTCAATTCAGTAAAAAAGAAACCCGAAATTATATATTTTGAAGTACATTGTTGTGTTCCAGGTTTAAAAAAAGAATTATTTTCCTCTTGTATTTGAAATTTCCCTTAATGCCTTTTCCATCCCTTTTCCATAGTGTTTACTTCTCCTCCTCTGTTTAAATTTTTGACTGACCCTTGCATCTTTATGAAATATTATTTCTTTTACACAAGTGTGTGTGTGGAAATTTTGTAATATAATCAACCATCAATCCTTAACATTTAAGACGCTGACATTACCATCAAAATAGCACATCCTTGGCATTGCACGGGCGAAAACTAGTATTAGAAAAGAGCCCTTCTAATTCTATTTCCTAATAAATGAATTGTTTTCTTCACTACACCTCCCCGTTGCAACTCCCATCTCCACCCCCCTTCACTTCTTTGGTTATCTCACTATGAATCGTGAGATGATGATAAAGATACAAAGAAGGGTAGTATAATAGAAAAAGGAGAGTAACCATGCTACTCATCTAGATTCAAATCCAGATGAAATATATATCAACGTATGATTGGACAGTTTGAAAAATTATTACAAAAATACCCAATCATTTTTTGACACATCAATCTGTCTCTTCACTTCATTAAGTGGATTTATTCAAAAGATAGAGGGGAAGTTGAGGTTAGAGGAGCAAACAAAATGAGTGGAAGGAACAAAAGGGACGAGTGTAGTTAATGTATGAGCTAAACATGAATGGATTGGACGAGTTCAACTTAGATAAAGTCAAGTAAATGTAACCTTTTTTTATTTTTTTTTTATTTTTTTTAAATCACATCATATTACATGCGAAGAAATCTCTTTATGAAACACTCGTTTGACTTTTGTTAGCAACTGAATCCTCCATAGCCAATAATGTTATAATGAGATTTCAACACGAGCAATTTATTTCCAAGATTTTGTTCCACTTCAATTATAAAAATGTTTTTTGTTTGTAGCATCTTGTTACATTAGATTAGATTATACCGAAGATGAAAATTCATGGAAATGTACGTCTATTATTTAATCGTGTTAAATATATTTTTATAAATCATAAAAAATTAATATGGTATTATAATTCATGTACTTGGGTCAAATAATTTGATCTAGAGATCGAACCGACCTCGGAATAGACCACCCATGTCCCAACATACATTTCTGGTTCTAATCGGATCCCTAACCCTGAATTATTGCATCAAAAGATCCCCTATGTATACCTATCTTATATAAATCGTTGGAAGAAAGATATACAAGTCTCCAAAGACAAATAAAACCTTCATGGAAATTCCCTATTTTAATTGAAAAAGATTTTTGGATGGTATTGAAGAGTGGCAGTAAGAAAAGCGTTAGAAGTCGAAAGCAAGGCCCCTTTTGATTGTTTGTTAGTAACAAAAAAATTGACTATCGCATTGAATGAGAAAAGAAAAAGATACACAAGTTCATAACATCTCAATGATGAGGCTAGTATATGCAGATGTGGTTCTTGTTTTCTATCGCCCCCAATAGAAGTGATGGTCTAATGCCTTTCGATAAACTGCTCTCATCACATGCTAGCCACACCACAATTCAACGACATTTTTTGGACAGAAATTATCATTAGAACTAACTTGCAATTAAATTTGATTTTTCTGGACCCATTTGTTCGCTAAAATCCTACACCGCAAGTGCACGGGTCGCGTTCAAGTAATAAAGTGGACCTTTTGAGTTCAAGTATCGTCCCACAGAGATTGTATTAGTTTAAATTTAACTTATCTACGCCTTAACCGAAACAATAGAAAATTTTCGCTAACTAAATTATAATTTAATAACCTACTTATAAATATAAAGTCTAAATTAAATGCGTGATTATAACTAAATTTAAGTTTTATAAAAATATGATAACAAAATGCGTACTAGGATCCCGAATCCCCTTATATCAATCCCCTTTAATCCGAATTTTATAAAATTGACAACACGATTCAATTATGAAGATCAATATTCCTAATTTGTTTAACAATCTCTCTCGAGTAGAATTAAACCTACTTTCACATGCGATCTGACTATATTTCTATGACGGATGCGAACATATAAAAATGCATTAAAGATTTATGAATACTTAAAGATCACGGAAAGCATAGCGTTATATTTCTATCCCCTATCGGACTTTACGACAATTAACATAATGTCTAACTTATTTTCTATCTCTCGAGAGTAAAACAAGCCACAAATCTCATACAAATATTGCGCCTATAATTGTAGAGAAAATAAAATCCATGCTAATCATTCAATAATTAAAAACATGTTTTAACGTCAAGTAAATAAAATTCAAGATCAAGGGTTCATAATATAATGTTCATCGCAAATCCTAGCATGAAAAGATCTAGCCTAACATAACGGCAGAATTAAATAAATAAAAGTGGAATGACATCACCAATAACTGACGAAACGCGATTTATCCACAAATTAAAGATGCCGTCTGTGTCTGTGTTTCGGTATCTGTCGTCTCCAATTCCGGGCCTGCGTGCGTGATGCGTGTAAATATGTATATTCCTCCACCAGCCCACTTGCTTGTGCGTCTAATATAATCAATTCAGCTTGCAAATTCTTTAATTTCAGCCGCCACTTATACTCTCAATTCCAAAATCCAATTCCAGTAGCCTTTTTGTGCAATAATATTCCAATTCCCAGCTACTTGCTATGGCTTTCTGTGGGTGTATAACCCAGTTAATTCACTCCCAGCAGCTGGCCGACAATATCAATTCAACCGCTTAATCTCTCGGCTTTTCCTGTATGAATATCTACAATTAATTCTCAGCCCAAGTTTTAATTCCCCAAAGCAGCTGGCCGAATTTTTCTCTTCTTTTTCTGCCGTCTAATATCTTTATTGAGCCCCCAGCCTTTGTGCGTGTATCCCCTCCTTTTGTCTCGGTTGCATGTGTATATATACATCAACAATAAAACCCTTGTTCTGTATACAAATTAGGAGCCCAAGTCCAATAAGTTTTGTGTACTTAATTCTTTCGTGTAATGCAAGTTAGTCCTTCTCTTCATTTTCTCCTCAATTTTGACCCTTCATCTATTATTCCGCGAGATTTTGTCCACAAACTCAATGTAATAGCCAACTGATTATTTTCTTTTCCAATTGCTTCAAAACTGGTCCATAACTAAAAACAAAAGAAAATTAACACAAATTAGGTAAAAATTAATAATTTGACGACATAAAAACCTAGTTATGTAGTCTGAATAAGTGCATAAAATGCACTTATCACCTTTCACTTGAGAAAATAGGATGCGAACACAAGTACTCATTGAGGTCAAGTCCTGCTACAGGTTTGTGGGTGTGAAGATAGGTCAATACGAGTTATGCTCCTGGTTCAAGTCAATGATGTGTTTACTTCCTCAAATTTCCCTAAATTTTTATGGACATTTGTTTGTTCGTCAAGAGAGTTGGGTGCTCAGGAGAGCGACAATATGTAAACTTAGTATCATTTTGAATATATTCAAATATACATCTTTGTTCATTCTATATACGCTGAACAAATATTTGTAGTTATTTTTGAACCCAACTTTGATTTAAATTTTAGCAAAGTCTGTATGACGGCACATATTCTATGTTAAGCCATCGCCCCCTTGAACTCGCGCTTAACATTTCTTCATCACGGCTCTGGATCTTTTAGCAGATGATAATCATGATCTGGACATGAGTGGAAGTCAATTACTGAAGTGGGGGATTGCAATTGAAGACTGGGATTTCCTTCTGGAGCTGAGAGAGGTTTCGACTACTGCTTGCACGAGATTGAGAAATGAATGGATGCTATTGTTCAACTTCTGAAATCTCCATTCACACGCATTTTTTGCGTACTGTAAATGGGAAATGAGAAGGTCTGAAGATTATATAGCTCGAACTCATTGTTTCACACTTTGTTTTCCCACATCGAATGTACAGAAAGATCTGAAAGGATCTGAGTATTATAAAAGAACAGGCCTCGTGACTTAATAAAGCATACCTTTCTCGGCCTTTTGGCTAAGATCAAGTGTAGTATCTGTTCTTATCAGTTTAATATCTGATATGTGGGCCATTGGCTCACACGATATTAAATTAATTTTTTAAGGGGGAGGGTCCGACACAATAGCTTGCTATTGGGGCTCTTGAGTGTCGTCCTGGTGTTGCACTAGTGCCTGGACCTGGCACACCTAACCAATTCTAGTTTGAAGCATTTGGATGTTGGTCTGGCCGAGAAGGGCCTTTGTTTGATATATTAGAATGACGTTCCTACCCTATTTTATTACAGTCTGTCGCTGAATTTAGATGTCTTTATTGCTAATTTTACCTGTTTTTGCTGACAGGTTTCATTAACTATTTTATTTTGGTTCCTCAATTCAATGGAAAAGATTGTCCTTTAGTAACAACAAAAATGTATTTTAATGGAGTGTTTATCCAACTATGGAGAAATGTCCGGATTAAAGATGAATGTTAACAAGTCTATGACTTGTACACGGCGGGTGTCCATAGACAAGAGTTGGAGGATATTGTTCAACAAACTTAGAGAAAGGACTTATGTCTTTCCGTTACGTCGGTATCCCACTTGTGATGGAAAAACTTAAAATCAGCTCTTATGATTTACGTATCAACAAAATTAAGGACTACATTGGAGCATGATTGAGGGTTACATTATCTTTTGTATGGAGTGGAACTAGTGAGAGCCATCCTACAAGGTATTGTACGTTTTTGGCTTTCCATTCTTCCTATTCCGTCCCTGGTTTGCATCTAAGGTTTACTAGCCTATGCCATAACTTTCTTTGGGATTCAAAAAAATCGTTGGTTTCTTGGAGTAGTATTTGTCTACCGAAACATGAAGGCAGGTTTGGATTTAGGGAAATTAAATGCTGGAATTATGCTATTCTTGCTAAACTCT